TCTTTCGACGTGCATTGTATACTCAGTTGGAATACAAAATGACATGGCTTGGCCACATGCAAGGCCAAAAAGCATGGACATCAGGAAGATAGCAGTCATGCTAGATCAAAGATAAAATTAAAGAACATTTTACATGTATCTTTTCAGGACATTCAGAAGGAACATTTGCAAAGAGCATGAATACACACACACACACACAGCCAATAATAACAATAATAGCTACTGTTTATGGAATGCCTACTTTGTCCTAGGCCCCATTAGGTGTTTTTACATATTTAATATTCTCCATAACTTTCCAATATACACTTAGATGTGGCTATGATCCACATACCCCATAGTGTAGGGGCTCGCATAGTGGAGATTCTGCTTGCACGTTCCACTAAGCACCACTGGGCAGTGAAATGGCAAGCCTGAAACACCGCAACAGAAAAATGGCAGAGATGTACATGTCAACTAACTGTAAAATAATTCATTCAGTGGATAAATAATATAAATACTTTTCTTTATGATTATAAGAAGTGAGTTAACAGTTTGGTTCAAGAAAGGCTTTCCCAGAACTGTAGTTTTCTAAAAACTTTGGTTCAATAGCTTAAATGGCAAAAAAACACTATTTGGTTATAATCAGAGAGGGCAAAGAACTCGAGAAAAAGCATAACCAAACTTCAACACCATCCCAATGCATATAATCTTGCATATAATTCTACCTATTAGCTGTCAAGGAAGACACCATGAAGCTAAGGAAAGTCCAGAAAAGGTCAACTAAAATTGCCACTGGTGTTAAGGGACTAACTCGGAAATCTAAGACTCCCACCCCCCATCTCCTTCTGAACCTTTTGAATATTCCTTTAAGGTAGAAAGAAGCATAGTTGGAAAAAGTAAAGGATTATTTTACACAGAAGGTATATGGAATTCACTACTCCAAAAAGAGTATAGAGGCAAAAATATAAGTTGACATAATGAGAATAATATAATCAAGGATGTCAGCTCCATTATGGGTTAGCCGGAAACATTAAATAATTTTTGGCTACATAGAAGACAACAGAGGGTCCACAGTGCCTCAGGCAGAAGTAGAACATACACCTCAACAGAGCCTGTGTGATGGAGAACTTGTTCAATATCAATTGGACATCATAATGATCTGGATAATGTTATGACACAATTATTTTAGTTCTACTACTGAGGGAGAGTAATCAAATTTCAGACTTTTTGCATGTAAGCTGATCATATCGAAGATTAAGAAGATTTTTTTGTCTTACAAATATTGTACAGCTAGTTAGATATGTTTGGATTTTTTTTCCTTCTTAAGTATCATT